CTTGTACCAAATTGCATTTTCTAAAAATGGGGCTAAGAAAACCTCTTAGCATTATACAGATGTGGAGAGGTTAGTTGTGGTAAGCTTTGGAGGAAAATTAGCACCAATAAATTGATTACATGTATACAGATGCAAAGACTGATGATCTGCTTAACAATATTGCACAGCCTCTGTATCTTTGGTGTAATAAAGTCTCATCTGAAGGACTAAAATATAAGCATTGTCATGGAAGCCCTTGTATAGTGATTTCCTAATGTTGTTGTTGCTGTCATTATGTGCCATCGAGTCATACCCAACTCATAGCGACCCCACCTTGGGTTTCCGAGGCGATATCACTACAGAAGTAGATTGCCCAACCTTCCTTCCGAGGAGTGGCTGGTGGGTTTGAACTGCCAGCCTTCTGGTTAGCAGTCAAATGCCTTAGGCACTATGCTACCAGAGCTCTTGATTCCCTAACAGAATGTCTAAAATTATTCATTGACGAAATTAGTGGAAAAAGGAAAAACTCATTGCCATTGAGTTGATTCCAACTCATAGCAACCCAATATCACAGTAGAACTGCTCCATGGAGTTTCCAACGTTGTGATCTTTTATGGAAGCAGACTGCCTCATCTTTCTCCCATGGAGAACATGGTGAGTTTGAACCTCTAACCTTAAAGGTCAGCAGCCATGTGCTTAACCGTTACACCACAAGGTTCCTTGAAAAAGGAAAAGGAAGGAACTAAAGCTTTAGCCTATGCAAGAACTCAAGATTGCTTATCCCTGTTAATTACCATCTGTCATGCCCCTTTAAATTTATCATTTGGGGTTAATGCAGTCTGCCCTGTACCTGAGTGCACTGGTGCTTTCCACGTGCAAAGACTTCCAATGAAAATGGTTTCAGAACTATCTTCTCTCTCAGTTTAATATAACATCAGTACCGATGTACTGATTATTGAGTATTGCTATTGTATTATACGGTCACTATGAGTTAGATTTGACTTGATGGCAATGAGTGCTACTGTATTATTCTCTCTTAACCATTATGGGGGATTAGATATGATCCAGTCCCTCAGAAAGCTTACCATCCAATGACAACTGACCATAATTAGCAAATACAGTTAACAATTAATAAACGAGTATTAACTGAAATACTGAATAAGATGCAATGTGAAATTTTAGAAGAGAAGGAGGGAAGCAGGTGCTGAGGTAATTAGAGAAGGTGGTACATATAATTTGATGCTTGAGTGTCATGAAGGATAAGCAAGACTTATCCAGGTAGAAAGAAGAGAGTCTGACAGAGCAATGGAACATGTGACTTCCAGGCATGGAGCTGTCAATGTGCATGTCAATGTGCATGGAGCTCCAAAGATTCTGGCCTGGTCAGAGCATAGGTGATGAGGCATTGAATGATATCATAAGATTAGCTAAGTAAGGTGAGACCAGATTCAGGAGAGCGCTGAAGTTAAAAAGGTTAGATCTGATCTGGTAGAATAATAAAGCCATTTCAAGCGTTTGTGCAAAAGAGTGAAAAGCAGAGTAGTTAGTCTGGTTAGTCAGGCAGTGGTTATCATGATTGAATGGAGCAGAAAAGATGTCAAGTATATCAGTGAACATTATAATCACCAAATCCGAGATGGTGAAGGCTAAACCAAATGGTGTCAGTAAAATAGGTGGGGGGTAAAAAAGTATGGAGAGGAGAAATGCTTTAAAGGAAACAAAGGAGGGACTTTTTGACTGACTAAATTTGAAAGCTAGAAGAGAAAGTAGTCATCAGACTTGATTCCAAGATTTCTAGCCTGTGGCCTGGGTTGCCCACAATATCAAGAAAGCTTGTTCCAAACAAAAAAGTTAGAAAGTGGCATTGTTCTGACAAAAGAAAAAAAAAAAAAAAAAACATTGAGTTTGGTGTTAGATCCTAATTGATGGTAGTTAGCTTGCAGAATGGTACTCAGAATGCAGGGCTGGAGATGGATTGGACTTTACCAACATATAGTTAATTGCTGAATGCACAGAGATGTCTACAGAGGGCACGTCCATGGTGGGCTTTGGGCTGAAAGCCAAGTATTGTTTACTGAGATGCCATTTATTCCTCTGAAGTATATTTGCTTATGGAACTGATGAGAAAATGATACATATATTCACTAATTTTCTAACCAAGAAATTATTAAGATAAAGATAAATGAGACCAGGTAAAAGCAGAGTGACTTCAAGTATAGAAAAAAAAAATGTATCAATAAAAGAATCATTACTGTGGTACTGTTATTAAAACAGTTATCCAACTCTGTAGTCTAGAATGCCTCTGTACCTTAGGCTATTTGTAGCAGTTAGTATGAGCACTTAGTGAGTAGCAATGCAGTATTACTATATATATGAAACATAGTATTAAACTTACTATATTTCATTGATTCTAAGATGCACATTTTTTTCATATTTTAAGATCTCTGAAATTGGGTTATGTCTTACAGTTGATGCCATGTAATCGTTATCATTGGCTTGGCAGCAGTCATAGCATAGTTGGCATTGCCTTAATTTATTTGGTTTATTTTTCTTTTTTATATATGCACAAGAGTTATATATGACAAAAAATATGTCTAAGTCTAAAAGATCTCTTTTAGTAAGTATAAAATAAAAGTTCTAAGTGATAAAGATAGCAATAGTTTAGTTGGCAGTGGGTTTTTTAGTGGTAGATAAAATGGTGTGTTTTATAATGATATTTTAGATCTGATGAAATATGGTATTTAAAGATAGCTGATCACAGCAAATCTCTACCAGTTGAGATATAGATGGCTAGAATAAAATATTCTAAATCTGCATTCTTTCATCTAAAGTTGACCTAAGTTCAAGGTACCCCTTGGGTTGTTATAATTTGGACTGGGAACATTAAGAGAAAAGGAGTTCATTCAGTAGTGTAAGCATTGCCTGCCAGGAATAGAAGCCTCCATGGGGGGAGTGGGGTCCATTTCCTTGATGGTACAGAATCAATAACATTCATAAAGTCTAGGTATTAGCAGAACAGGTATCTGTGCATTATGTAAACCAGTTTGCCTTTCCGAATTTCATACTGCTGTACAATCCAAGCAGTTCTGCGCATGCATACTACTTGTGCAAAGTGAGAGTTAATCTACAAGGAATTTTGCTTGTGTTGAGGGATGGTAATAAAGTCTCTTGGGAGCTCTGGTAGCATAGTGTCTAAGGCACTTGACTGCTAACCAGAAGGCTAGCGGTTCAAACCCACCAGTCACTCCTCAGAAGGAAGATGGGGCAATCTACTTCCGTAGTGATACTGCCTCAGAAACCCAAGGAGGGGTCGCTATGAGTCAGGTCTGACTCGACGGTACATAACAACAACAATAATGTCTGTTAGTGGCAGAATATGTCATTCCTTATGAAAGTGAAGAACGAAAAGCATTCAGTTCCGAATAGCAGAGTTTTTACTCACTTCTGCAGTATGACCTGTTAATTGGAGGTAGGTTCCTTTTCATTTATGGTCAGAATCACAGTCCCTTTTCCTACTGATTTGCCCAAGAGAACATGCTGGGCACAAGTGTGTCTTTTTGTAAGTCTGTGCTCCAGGACTGAGAAGTAGGAACAAAGAATAACAGGGCTGGAGAATGCTCCTTTTTACTCCTGAGGGGCACGGTGCTTCAGGTAAGTGATTCTGAAGTCCTTCACCACCTGGCGGTAACCTTGGGTTGGTCTATAGGTATGTTTTCATTCTGCTTCTTCATCTATTCTAATTGGCTTCCTAGAGCATGCTTATAGATACAGAGCCAACTTTAAAGTACAGTAACCCTCTGGCAAACAGGAAAAGATTAATTTTGCGGTGTGCTGTCAAGGGGACTTCCCAGGAAACTTCAAAAGCACAGAAAGAAGCACTAGCTGCCTATTCTAAAATGTGCAAAATGCCACTCAGCTTTTTAAAGGGATGATGAACTCAAAAGCTCTCTCTCACACACACAGATGCACACACATGTGGAGACACACACATGCACACTTACTTCCGATAAGATAAGACATTGTGCTTCCATGAATGGATCTGTCTATTAGCCAGAAAAGCCAAGGGGTGAGGGGCCTCAGAGAATGGGTGGAGATCAATGTGCAGCCTGCATGTGGGAGGCATTTGAAATGGACTTCAATGCCTTTTTAACGCTGACTTTTCCAGTTTGTTAAGCAGACACATTGTTTTCATGGTATCAGCCCCAGGCATAGACACATCATTAAAGTCAACGTGTAGAAAATGATTTCTGTTTGGAAATAAGCAAAACATTTTTCAGTTATGACCACCCAGGTGTAGTAGAAAGAACATTGGACCCAGAGTGGGGAAATCTACATTCTAATATAAACTTTCTTCATGACACAAGGCAAGTCCTTCATAGCCTTTTGTTTTCTTATCTGTGAAACAGAATAGCTTAAGGAAATTATCAAACTTCTTTGCTCTGTGGGAGGAAAAAAACCATCCACATAAAGTTCTTTATAGCTCCCTGACATGTATTTTAGTGTGCTGTTTTGCCTACATATCACATGTTAGAAAGACCCACTCAGACCCCTCAGGCCACTACTGTTCCTATCACAGGGTCTGCAATAAGACCATGTTGCTAACTTGAAAAAAAAATTACTATTATATTTGCAGTTGTTGCTTAGTAACATTTCTGATTTTATGTTTCCAGTGACAGCATGAGGAGAGATCATTAAAAATTAAACTTACAAAGCTGCTAAAGTGGGAGGAAGGAGGAGAACTCCGAGCCACAATATTTTTCCCTTGCTCATCAGCCATCTAATCTTGGGTTTATAGGCTAAATATTGGGGAAAACATTGCACATGTCTGGTTTATACTAAACCACATATAACACACTGAAGACAGTAAGTTGTGTCTGGTGCAGCTGGAGTTTATCACCAGTACATAAAAAAACTTGACCCTGCAGGATGGCCTGGAATTACAATCACATAGGCCACACTGTATCCCTGTGAAATGAAAGCTCTAACCAGTTTTGTGTCCTGTTTCTGCTTTCTCCCCACAGTTCCACCAGGTGAGAAGAGTGATGACCATCCTTTTCCTTACTATGGTTATTTCATACTTCGGTTGCATGAAGGCTGCCCCCATGAAAGAATCAAACGTCCGAGGACAAGGCAGCTTGGCCTACCCAGGTGTGCGGACCCATGGGACTCTGGAGAGCGTGAATGGGCCCAAGGCAGGTTCAAGAGGTCTGACATCATTGGCTGACACTTTTGAGCACGTGATAGAAGAGTTGCTGGATGAGGACCAGAAAGTTCGGCCCAGTGAAGCCAACAATAAGGACACGGACTTGTACACGTCCAGGGTGATGCTCAGTAGTCAAGTGCCTTTGGAGCCCCCTCTTCTCTTTCTGCTTGAGGAATACAAAAATTACCTGGATGCTGCAAACATGTCTATGAGGGTCCGGCGCCACTCGGACCCTGCCCGTCGAGGGGAGCTGAGTGTGTGTGACAGTATCAGTGAGTGGGTAACAGCAGCAGATAAAAAGACTGCAGTGGACATGTCAGGCGGGACAGTCACAGTCCTTGAAAAAGTCCCCGTATCGAAAGGCCAACTGAAGCAATACTTCTACGAGACCAAGTGCAATCCCATGGGTTACACAAAAGAGGGCTGCAGGGGCATAGACAAAAGGCATTGGAACTCCCAGTGCCGAACTACCCAGTCGTACGTGCGGGCCCTTACCATGGATAGCAAAAAGAGAATTGGCTGGCGATTCATAAGGATAGACACTTCCTGTGTATGTACATTGACCATTAAAAGGGGAAGATAGTGGATTTATGTTGTATAGATTATATTGAGACAAAAATTATCTATTTGTATATATACATAACAGGGTAAATTATTCAGTTAAGAAAAATAATTTTATGAACTGCATGTATAAATGAAGTTTATACAGTTCAGTGGTTCTACAGTCTATTTATTGGACATATCCATGACCAGGAGGTAAACTGTCATTTGCGCACAACTTTAAAAGTCTGCATTACATTCCTCAATAATGTTGTGGTTTGTTGCCGTTGCCAAGAATTGAAAACGTAAAAAGTTTTAAAAAAATAATAATAAATTGCATGCTACTTTAATTGTGAATTGATAATAAACTGTCCTCTTTCAGAAAACAGACAAAAAACAAAAAACAACAAAAATTTGAACCAAAACATTCCGTTTACATTTTAGGTAGTAAGTATCTTCGTTCTTGTTAGTACTCTTGTTTTACTGCTTTTAACTTCTGATAGCGTTGGAATTAAAACAATGTCAAGGTGCTGTTGTCATCGCTTTACTGGATTAGGGGATGGGGAATGGGAGGGGAGTATTTTTGTTTGTTTTGTGTTTTTTTTTGTTTGTTTGTTTGTTTTGTTTTTTTAGTTTCCACAGGGAGTAGGGATGGGGAAAGAATTTGTTCAATATATGTTCTGGTTGATCAAAGATTCCCTTGTAAATTGTAAAGCTGTTTGCAGTATCAATCAGATGATTGAAAAGTGAATAAAAACCAAGGCAACTGAAAGAAATGCTCACACTCCACTTCCCATGATACATCTCCCAGGCTCCACTCACCCTTTGGGCATTTGTTGGAAAGCCCTAATTTTGCTTAGAACACATTCTTTCCCTCCCTCCCACTTTGGTCCCGTTTGTTTTATTGTTTTCTCTTAACGAAAGACATCAGTTGTACACTTTGAAATATTTCACCACTGCTCCAAACAACTGAACACATCTTGTCACATTGTGGCACTTATGTAAGTGTGGAGAACAGTGATTTCCTTTTTTTTTTTAAGAAGAAAAAAGAGAAAAAATAACCCAAAAGTAAAGATTTTTTATGAGATGGTAAACATTTGGGTTAAACATGGGAAGGCTTTAAAAAAATCATGGTAAGGCTTAAAAGTGTCTTACAAGTAAAAGGTGGAGTACTGTATGGACCCAGAAATATCTAGATCAGAGCAGGGATCCACATTGCCAGTGAAATGACACAGAATAGTGATATGGAGGCTATGTGGAGCTGATGTATCATTTCCGGGCAGCGCAGGAGGAATTTCGGAGTGGCTATCCTGAGGTCTAGGTCAAAGTAGAAAATGGTACTTGAGACATTCCAAAGGAGAGGCCTCTGAAGGACTCTCAGAGGAGGCTCTGGAATGGTATGTGTGGAGTTGCTTGGACCTCATGCTTTAAGTGCCTACATTATCTAACTATGCTCAAGAGGATCTCAAAGGAGGACCATGCTAAAGCAGACTTATACTCTCCACCCAACCCCCAGTAATTAGTTTATTTTGGAGAAAGCTGGACTTGCCTAGAGCAGGTTAGGAGCCAAATGTGGCATTATGATAATCAGATTGATGTAATGTGATAGTAGATGTTTGCTACATGAACACTTATTGTGTATAAAACTAGACTTGAGGAAACCAGGGTTTTATCTTTTCAAAACTTTTGGCAAGTGAGAAAGGGGTAAGAAAAGGCTCCAAAACTCAGGCTAAATGACCAAGGCTACCACCAAGAGAAAATCTTGTCCAGAAACACTTCAAGAAGGTGTCTGCATGTCCAGAACACCAAGCTTTGAAGGTAACTTGCTCGATGGAAGAGGCCAGGGAAGAGTTGACAAAGTTTTGCTCCCCAGTGAAGGCCATAGCAACCCCCTGCCCATCCTCTCTGCTCATGGAGAGGGTCCCTGCCTCACCTCTGCAAATTTGGCCTAGGAGAAGTCCAGTTGGGAACCTGGAAGACCATTGTCCAAACCTGAAAATGTTCATGGTCATACCTGGGTCCGTGTATTGAGTAGAAGAAAGTCTAAGCTAGTTGCTGTCTTAGCAGGGTGAGGGATAAGCAAAAGAGGATGGCCATGATGCCCTGGGGAATGAGGCTACCATCAGCAAGTAATTTCTGTTTGTTCAGTTCTTTCATTTAGAACTAGCCTATAATTCACAGTATCATCTGAGTACCTGTCATTAAAAGAAGAAAGCAAATGATCTTCAAGACTATATAGTATAGGTTTGTTTTGTGCTGTTTGAAAATATTATCTTTGTAATTATTTTTAACATGTAATGAATATTTGGAACATCTGCTGTATGCTAACTTTTTGCAGTTTTCCTTTCGAGGGACACAATCTTACGAAAAGGGGGCGGGGAGTCCCCATGAATTTCTCAAAGTATTACAAGGGCCAGATCTGTTAAGTGGTTAGATACGGGATATTCAGCAACTGTGTGGTCAGTGGCACTCTCTTACCCAATAAAATACATCACAGTCACGTGCTTGGTGGTTTATGTTGATCTAAGATTTGTTTTGTTGAAATTTCCCTCTGTTGCTGTTCATTTCTGTTCTGTTTTGTTTTTTAAAGTCTTGCTGTGGTCTCTTTGTGGCACAAGTGTTTCATGCATGGCAGCAGGCCTGTTGCTTTTTTATGGTGATTTCCATTGACAATGTAAGTAAATGTCTGTGGCCTTGTTCTCTCTATGGTAAAGATATTATTCACCATGTAAAAGAAAACAAAAAAATATTTATTGTATTTTAGTATATTTATATAATTATGTTATTGAAAAAGAAAATTGGCATTAAAACTTAACCGCATCAGAAGCCTATTGTAAATACAAGTTCTATTTAAGTGTACTAATTAACATATAATATATGTTTTAAATATAGAATTTTTAATGTTTTTAAATATATTTTCAAAGTACATAAAACCAGGGGTTCTGGGTTTTTTTCTCTTCACTATAAAACAAACATGAAAACGTGTTTTACTATAAATACGTGTGTTCCTTGCTTTAAGACCAACCTGGCTAGGTTTTGCAATTTAACAGCCCTCCAAAGAGGAGTTTGTGTCCAAGCATGAGGAGGCCAATCCTGTAGTCTGTGAGCTTCTGAGAAGCTCCAGGATTGGGCCTGTCTTCCACAGTGGAAGATGGGAATGTTATTTTCCAGGACACTTGAAAGTTTTCCCCTTTGAAGTGATATATTTTGATCAAATACCAATTCATGTATCCTAGCAACATCAAGATCCTTGAATCAGGGCTGGCTGGCGCTCTTTGATTATGAAATAACAGTTAAAACTCAAAGTAGGCTTACTTAGGGATAATGAGAATAAATTGCCCTAAATTTAGGAAGTCAATGACTGAAGGAAATATAGAAATTCAATATGCAGAGACAGGTCATGTACCCTGAGTTTGGAAATGGTGCCATTTGCATTATGTATTTGTATCCATTGCACTGATTTCATTTTTATACATGGAGCATGTAGATTTTATATCATAGTATCCACGGTCTAACAGATTGCTAGGATTTCTAAAAAGATTTGCCTCTGTGATGGCTGCCAAGCCGCTGGGTAATTTAGTTAGAGTGTTTAAAGTTATCACTAAATCTTAGGGAAATAAATGGAAGGATTTTAAATTGGAGAAAGGGCCATTAAGGAAAAAAAGCATCTGTTCCTACTCTTCAGACTCTCATTTGAACACTGACAACCCATCCCAGAACGTGGTGAACTATATCTGTGCAATGTATCATTTCTATTTCAAACATACACACATGGTTTCCTCTTGTATTGTCTTATAAATAAGGATCAAGAAAGTCATAACAAACATTGACTTGTGTTATGTATATGGAAGAACAGATCGAATGAGATGAATTACTCAATTCTATGGATTTGCAAAGTACTCTAAACTCTGAGAAGCCCTTGATTGCCAGTCATGACGTGAGCCCAGCCATGGAATTAGAACTTTGGTAAACTTCAGGCTTAACCAATTTTATACTCAAGGAAGACTGAAATAATATTGAAAGAGTAAAAAGAAGTGAGAAATGTGACATCCAAACTCCTTGACATTAAAGGAGTTTGTTAAGCCTGACTGGAGGTTTTCATCAGAGAAACAAAAGAAAGGAAAAATGGAGGCATCTATTAGATTAACCAACTTTGAGTTGTTGTTGTTGTTACGTGCTGTCAAGTTGGCTCTGACTCATAGCGACCCTATGCACCACAGAACAAAACACTGAGTAGTAATGCAGCATCCTCACAAGTCTTGCTATAATTGAGCCCATCATTGCCAACACTGTGTCAACTCATCTTGTTGTGGGTCTTTTTCTTTGACCCTACACTTTACCAATTTGTACCCAATTCACTGGGTAAGCAGTTAAACTTGTTTGATCATTATGATGGCTGGGAACATCCCAAAGCATTGCTTTGATCTATTGGTTTATGACATATTGATAAGCCTCCATGGTCATTAGCTGTGTCTCTGAAGTCCTCTCTTTGTACTAATCCTATGAATAATACCACAGTCCTGAGTGAGAATCTGCACTGAATCTTAAAATGGATCACTGTTGATTTTTCAGTCATTCATTTAAGTGATTACTAGTCTCTGGATAAAATGGCTACAACAAAATGCTTCAAGTTGTGAGGCTTTGCTTCAGTTCAGCCAGTAGTGTTAGGGTTTAAGCACAAGGCAAAACATCCCTCCACCATGTTCTACCAACATCAAGCCTGCTGTATGAGTCAAAGTGTAAATGGCTACTTATTTTTGTAAGCCATTATTAAGGAAAGAAAGTTCAACTTGGGACAAGAAACAATATCTGTACATACGTTGATAGATGAAGTGCAAAGGCCTACAAAAAGGCATCCATGGATCTAATCCAACCTCAAAGTGTTAACAAACAGAATTAGTGTTTGGTGGACCCTGGGCCATTCATTTAGCTGCAGGTGGTTTCTAAGGTTCATTGGTTAGCTGGTGGTTGTTTCTTGTGTGGAGGGTTGGGGGAGTAGAGTGTGAGCATGACTTACTGGTCACATTGAACTAATTGGTGGTTGATTCTGTGAACTCACCTACTAGCCAAACTCAGTGACTAGAGTGGGTGCAGCTAGTCCAAACCAGTCAGCATTTATGTACATTCCAGCTAATAAATGCTCTAGTTCCCCTGTACCCCCCAGTCTTTAGGGTATCTTCATCTATTCTTTCAATTCTGACCACTAGTTTTAATTATTTGTAGAAAGAAAATGGCACTCTCCTTGCTTTTTGAGATGTGGTTAGATGCAGTAAATCGCCTGAAGAATGTGTTTAAATATTAACCGAAAAATATTGTGCTGTCACACATTCTATTCCTTATTAAGAAGAAAAGCCATTTACATTTTTTTTTTTAATGTGGCGATCTGTATAAGATTTCCATAGGCCTTTACCTCAACTACTCTAAGTATTTGCTGGGCACAAAACTCCAGATCAGAGCCCCCGTCCTGACATTGCTTCTTTGAGTAACAAAAATCCTATATGCTGGGTAAGATCAGTAGCATGGAATTATA